CTCAGCTGGGTCCATTTTGGGGGGCAGTGAGCCAGACAACCACGTCTGCACTTTACTCCTCATCCCCAGCCAGCCCCAAACTGACTCACCCTCCACCCCCTCCTCCTCTGGGCTTTCCCCTTTCCCTGGGCCAGGAGGTCACCTGATTCCTTTGTTCTTCAACCCTTTAGCTCTCACCTTGCAGGAGGAAGGGCCCAGGTCATCAGTTGCCAGGAAACAGGGTGTTGGCCATTCTCTGTGCAGACACCATCACACCTGCCCTCTAGGGCTCTGCCACAGTCACACCCCCTTATCTCACCACCTGGATCCTTAAGAACTGCCTAGGGGAAACTGAGGCACCTACACAGTATTCAGAAAAAACATTAAGAACAGTCCCGCTTCGTCACATGGGACTGCAGGACACACACTTAGCGCAGGGCTGGCGTGGGCACGGTCTCTGGGCTGGGAATACGCTGGCTGCTCAGAGTAGGAGGCGCAGATGGGCAGAGTTGCTTCTGTGATTCATCCCAGATTCTGCGGGGTTCCAGGCTGCTGGCCCGTCAAGGGTGGGCCCAGTTCTCTGCTGGCATAAGATGGCGTAAGCTGGTGCAGCCCCATTGCATCGATTTGCACCAGCTGAGAATCGGGCCCTTAGATGTACAGCCAAGCCAGGCGAGCAGGGCCCAGGATGCTGCTAGTCTCCGTGGAAGCTGGTGCTGGTACCCAGCCCCTTACAGGGGTGCAGCCCAACAGCAGGGCAGAGAAACCGACCCGCCTGGTCACTGTCTGAGCGGCAGGAGGCAGCGGGATAGAGGGGGTTAAAAGCACCTGCCTTTCAAGGGGCTGGGAGGGTGCTGGGCTGCGTGCAGCGTGTGGTTGGTCGGCTGAGTGTCCCACTCCTACTGAGGGGGAGCGGGGGGGGGGGGAGCTGAGCGGCGGGTTTGGGGCACTGAGGCAGAGCTTCCATCTCTGTGTGTTCCCAGATCTCTGTTCCCCGGGTTCTTTTATCTGCTGTGCGCTGAGGGGCTGCTTGACAGCAGGAGAGCTGCCAACCAGAGCCATGCATACGGCTGAGGGGCCTGGCACAGGACCCCGGAATCGAAATTCAGGCCAGCTCTCTGTGCTCCTCTGGGCCTCGGTTTCCCTATCTGTAGAGCTCTGAATGTGTCACAAGGCGGTCAGGGTCCTTATCCCTGTTTGGGGGAAACTGAGGTACAGAGCTGGGGGACTCACCTAAGGTCTCCTAGCAAAGGCAAGAACAGAACCCAGCTCCTCTGAGTGCAGGCCAGTGCTCCAGGCCACACTGCTTGGGTAACGATGCTCGTTCTGGCGAGACCCAACGGAGAGGGCCAATTCAGGACAAATTGCTTAAAAGGAGGGCAGTTACAGCCCAAGGCTGGGGTTTCTGTGCACACCAAGGCAAACCAAACCAGCCAAACAGAGAAGACTTCGGTTTTACCCCACTGGTTAACCACAAGTCATGCAAGCAATTCCCTCAGACACCCCAGTTTCCCAGTATCACCACCAGTGCCCCTCGTTGTGGGGACAAATGGTTATGAAAACCAATACCCCAGTAAAAGAACAAAGGTTCTCTCGATCCCAAAGGACCACGCCCCAGACCCAGGTCAATATACAAATCAGATCTTACCCACAAATCACGCTGTTGCCAATCCTTTAGAATCTAAAATCTAAAGGGTTATTCATAACAGGAAAAAGATAGAGATGAGAGCGAGAATTGGTTAAATGGAATCAATGACATACAGTGATGGCAAAGTTCTTGGTTCAGGCTTGCAGCAGTGACAGAATAAGCTGCAGGTTCAAATCAAGTCTCTGCAGAACGTCCCCAGCTGGGAGGGGTCTTTCGGTCCTTTATTCAGAGCTTCAGTTTGTAGCAAAGTCCCTCCAGAGGCCAGACACAGGATTGAAGACCAGATGGAGGATCTGCAGCAGCTTTGTATAGTCTCTTGCCATGGTCTCTGCTTTCTGTGTCCCAAAGACAAGCTGCCCAGCACATGGCCTGGAAACACCTCAGAGTTCTGTCCATAGGCAGGTCCCTGCATGCCTGGCTGAGTCCCAAGGCGTGTCTGCCTTCTCTCAATGGGTCATTGTATAGCTGATGGTCCTTCATGGGCCACCCAGCAGGCTAGGCAGAGCTGACACCAACTTCTCTGGGGTGTCACCCAGAAGCAGAGCACAAGTTTGAAATACAGACAGTACAGAGCCAATATTCATAACTTCAACTACAAAAATGATACCCACATACAGACAGCATCAGCAGCAGCAGCAAACCATGACCTTGTCTGAGACACCTCATTTGACCCCCTTATACAAGCTTTGGTGCCACTACAGGACCTTGGTTGCAACAATGTTCTATACGGTCCCAGTTCAAGTCAATAACATCACTGCCTGAATCATAGAATCATAGAATCATAGAATATAAGGGTTGGAAGGGACCCCGGAAGGTCATCTAGTCCAACCCCCCTGCTCAAAGCAGGACCAATTCCCAGTTAAATCATCCCAGCCAGGGCTTTGTCAAGCCTGACCTTAAAAACCTCTAAGGAAGGAGATTCTACCACCTCCCTAGGTAACGCATTCCAGTGTTTCACCACCCTCATAGTGAAAAAGTTTTTCCTAATATCCAATCTAAACCTCCCCCACTGTAACTTGAGACCATTACTCCTCGTTCTGTCATCTGAAACCATTGAGAACAGTCTAGAGCCATCCTCTTTGGAACCCCCTTTCAGGTAGTTGAAAACAGCTATCAAATCCCCCCTCATTCTTCTCTTCTGCAGGCTAAACAATCCCAGCTCCCTCAGCCTCTCCTCATAACTCATATGTTCCAGACCCCTAATCATTTTTGTTGCCCTTCGCTGGACTCTCTCCAATTTATCCACATCCTTCTTGAAGTGTGGGGCCCAAAACTGGACACAGTACTCCAGATGAGGCCTCACCAATGTCGAATAGAGGGGAACGATCACGTCCCTCGATCTGCTCGCTATGCCCCTACTTATACATCCCAAAATGCCATTGGCCTTCTTGGCAACAAGGGCACACTGCTGACTCATATCCAGCTTCTCGTCCACTGTCACCCCTAGGTCCTTTTCCGCAGAACTGCTGCCTAGCCATTCGGTCCCTAGTCTGTAGCTGTGCATTGGGTTCTTCCGTCCTAAGTGCAGGACCCTGCACTTATCCTTATTGAACCTCATCAGATTTCTTTTGGCCCAATCCTCCAATTTGTCTAGGTCCTTCTGTATCCTATCCCTCCCCTCCAGCGTATCTACCACTCCTCCCAGTTTAGTATCATCCGCAAATTTGCTGAGAGTGCAATCCACACCATCCTCCAGATCATTTATGAAGATATTGAACAAAACCGGCCCCAGGACCGACCCTTGGGGCACACCACTTGATACCGGCTGCCAACTAGACATGGAGCCATTGATCACTACCCGTTGAGCCCGACAATCTAGCCAGCTTTCTACCCACCTTGTAGTGCATTCATCCAGCCCATACTTCCTTAACTTGCTGACAAGAATACTGTGGGAGACCGTGTCAAAAGCTTTGCTAAAGTCAAGAAACAATACATCCACTGCTTTTCCTTCATCCACAGAACCAGTAATCTCATCATAGAAGGCGATTAGATTAGTCAGGCATGACCTTCCCTTGGTGAATCCATGCTGGCTGTTCCTGATCACTTTCCTCTCATGCAAGTGCTTCAGGATTGATTCTTTGAGGACCTGCTCCATGATTTTTCCAGGGACTGAAGTGAGGCTGACTGGCCTGTAGTTCCCAGGATCCTCCTTCTTCCCTTTTTTAAAGATTGGCACTACATTAGCCTTTTTCCAGTCATCTGGGACTTCCCCGGTTCGCCACGAGTTTTCAAAGATAATGGCCAATGGCTCTGCAATCACAGCCGCCAGTTCCTTCAGCACTCTCGGATGCAACTCGTCCGGCCCCATGGACTTGTGCACGTCCAGCTTTTCTAAAAAGTCCCTAACCACCTCTATCTCCACAGAGGGCTGGCCATCTCTTCCCCATTTTGTGATGCCCAGCGTAGCAGTCTGGGAGCTGACCTTGTTAGTGAAAACAGAGGCAAAAAAAGCATTGAGTACATTAGCTTTTTCCACATCCTCTGTCACTAGTTTGCCTCCCTCATTCAGTAAGGGGCCCACACATTCCTTGGCTTTCTTCTTGTTGCCAACATACCTGAAGAAACCCTTCTTGTTACTCTTGACATCTCTGGCTAGCTGCAGCTCCAGGTGCGATTTGGCCCTCCCTTCTTACTCCTGCTTACTCCTGCTTACTCCCCTCTCACCCAAGAGTCTGTTCTCTCTGCCCCTGCCCTCTGGCCTGCCCCAGCCCCAGCTTTCCGGGTCCCCTGCACTGTGAAGTGCTGTCCCCGGTGTCCTGCCCGTCCCAGGAAGTGCACGTTCCCCACCCCGCTTGTAACTCGCCATGCCCTCGCTCCCGCGAGCCTCGCAGCGCCTGCCCTGTGCCCGCAGCCTTGGGGTGAGTGCCTGCTCCCTGGCATCACCCCAGCTGGGGATCTGTCAGCAGGACCCACGTCCCTGCTCCTGCACCTTCGGGCTCCGGCCGGCCTCGTGTCCCAGGGCCTTTGCCAGGCGGCCAGCGGAGCCCCTGGCTTTCTGCAGACACCCCCACCCCCACATACCAGTGCTGCCAGCCCAGGGAGCCATGTCAGACTGGGCGAGGACAAGCCCCTGGCTGTGAGTGGGGCCCGGAGCACATGCCCTGCTCGGTCAGGTACCCCAGTGCGCCAGGCTGGCAGTGCACGGGCGTGACGGCATGTGCCAGATGTGTGGCAGTGGGGAGCTGTTTGGGGCACTGGGGAATTGGGAGGGCTTGAGCCAGGAGTGCTGTCTGGTGCAGGGTGATTAGCTCCTGGGGGCTGGGTGCAGCAGGGTGCTGTGCCCGTGGCTCCCAGTACCAGCCGGGGACCAGCAGCATGTGCCCTGGGGTGGGGGGTCCCTGGCACTGCCCCTGACGGCTGCCCTTGCCTGCAGGAGAGCACTGTGAGGTGAATGCCCACCTGGGCCGCTGCATGCCGGGCGTCTGCAAGAACGGGGGCACCTGCACCAACCTGCTGGTCGGGGGCTTCAAGTGTGACTGCCCCTCGGGGGACTACGAGAAGCCCTACTGCGAGATGAGCAGCCGCAGCTTCCCCGCCCACTCCTTCGTCACCTTCCCGGGCCTGCGTCAACGCTTCCACTTCACCGCCACCCTCACGTGAGTGCCGGGGAGGGGGGGGGGGCTGGATGACTGGCACCTCCTCCGGGGGGGGCATCACCCTCATGTCAGTGCTGGGGGGCACCTCCTCTGGGGGGGCATCACCCTCATGTGAGTGCCAGGGGGGGATGACTGGCTCCTCCTCTGGGGGGGGCATCACCCTCATGTCAGTGCTGGGGGGGCACCGGCCGGGGGGCTGGATGACTGGCACCTCCTCTGGGGAGCATCACCCTCATGTCAGTGCTGGGGGGGCTGGGCGACTGACACCTCCTCCGGGGGGACATCGCCCTCATTTGAGTGCTGGCCCCGGGGTGGGAAGCCGTTGCCCACGTATCAATAGCACTCTGGGCCCAGGGGTTCTGCGGAGCTGGGGCTGAGGTGGGTCCCCAGCTCGTCCTCCGTGTTGTCAGTGAATCGGACAGTCCACTCACCCCCCCACCACCCACTCAGCACCTCCCCGCCCACAGGCCTGGCCGTCCCAGCTCCTCCCCTCCCCGCCTGGGGAGGACAGAGCGAAGCCCCAGAACAGATCCTCCCCTAAGGGACGTCTCTGCCCCTTCCCCGGCCCTTACTTTAAAAACTGCTCCACTTGAGAGAAAGCAGCCTGGGTCCATGGGGTTTAGGCAGAGCCCATCCTTGTGGTATAGGTCCCTCCTTTCCCAGTCATAAACTGAACCCCCCAACCCTACACCCGTGGTTCCCCGCCATGGGGATGGGTACCCCCGGGGTATGCAAGGTCTTCTGGGGGTACAACAACTCCTCTGGAGATTTGCCTCGTTTGACAGCAGGCTCCATGGAAAGCACTGGGGAAGTCAGCACAGACTGAAACGTCATCCAGACGGCGCTGGTCCCGCGCTGGGCCCTACACGCTGCCTGGACGACAAGATTTAGAGTCCAGCCCATTTATTCTATAATGACATGGTAAAAAGGAGAACGTCATCCCAGTGGCCGTGACACTTTTGTATTGTCATGTCTGGGTTTGTAAGCCGGTCATTGTGAAGTGAGGTGTAACGTGGGGTCCATAAGACAGATCAGACTCCTGAGCCTGGGAAGGTTGAGAGCCCCTGGTCTCCACCGTCGGCTCATCCCTGCATCGAGACCCCGCAGCTCTGCCCGTCTCCCTGGCCCTGCGCGTGCAACTGAAGCATTTCAGAGACTGCTCCCAGGGAGTCCTGGACTGTAACCTCTTCCCTAGCAGCCTCCAGGACATCTCTCCTGCCTTTCCCTTTGTCACTGGCACCTACAGGTACCACGACCACCGGCTCCTCCCCAGCACGGCCTGCCGGGCCGTCTAGATGTCGCATGAGTCCCACTACTTTTATGCCAGGCAGCAGTTCACCTGCAGGTCTCCCGCTCATCACAGCCCCGCTCTCCGTATCTCTCATCCTCGAATCCCCCGCTGCTGTTCCCTGGCTCCTCCATAATGGGGGCCCTCCCCGGAGGGCTGTCCTTGGTACTGCCACTTACTCTGGAAGGGGAGTCCCAACTTGGGATCATTTGTCTCTGCTCCAGGCTACTGGGCATGATGGACCATTGGGCTGACCCGCGATGGCAGCTCTTATTTGGGGGGTGCCAGCCTTGCCCCAGCCCCTGCCACAGCAGATCCCCTGGGGATCGGGGTCTGGCAGGTGGACACAAAATGGCATCTTTGTTCCAAAGCCCAGGGCTCTCCCCTCCCCTCCGCTGCTCCAGAAGGGCCCATTGTTTTCCAGCAGGACACCCGGGGGTCTTCCTCCATTGGCCCTCCCCGACCCCGGAGCCCCCTCCACTCACTCCAGGGCCTGTCTGGCTGGATGTGGTGGGGGGCTGGCTGCCAGTGGGGTGGGGTGTCTGCCCCCGGGTGCCTTTCTGCGAGCTCGCCAGCAGCCCTCACCCAGGCCTGGCCCCCCAGAGGATCCCCCATGGCTGGGGATGGGGCTGGAACAGCTGCTTCCCTCTGCCTCTGGCCTTGCTGCCTGGCCCTGCCCTGCCCCACTCTCCCCCCAGCTAAGGCAGAGCAGGACGGGCAGGGTTTGGGGATGGGAGGGATTATCCCAAGGAGCGATGAGATCACAACCCTCATCAATGGGCCTGGCTCCCCTCCCCATAATCCTGCCAGTGCTAGCCATTGTCAGCCCAGAACAAAGGCCTAGCCAGCCACAGCCACAGGCAGGGCAGCCAGGGCCCTTTGTCCCGCGGTGGAGCCGTTGCAGGGGCTGGGCCTGGCGGGGCCGGGGCTGGGCCATCACCCCACGGGGGGCTGCTACGCGCTGACAGCGGGTAATGAATCGCAGCTGGCATGGGGGGCTGGGGCTAGGCCTGTTGTTCAGGAGTGCCGAGGGGATGGCCCCCTCCAGCAACCCCACAGCCTGGCAAATTGCTGGGCTGTGCGTATGGGGGGCACCCTATGCACTGCTGTCCTGGCTGGGGGTGCTACAGTCAGCATTAGGGTGGCCAAGGGACAGAAAATCCCTGCTAGGAGGGGCCGGCGGGTACCTGCCCATTGCTGGACATGGGGTCAGGCCCTACAGAGCAGAGGCGCGCCAGGAGGCGGGTGAGGCCCTGGGCCAATGGGCATGTGGTGCTGGATGCACGGGGAGGCGGGGGCAATGGCAGAGCCCTGGGACTCAGGACACCCCACTGCCCTGCTGAGTGACCTTGGCCAGTCACTTCCCCTCGCCGTGCCTCAGTTTCCCCTGCTAGCCTGCATCTAGTCATCTAGGGTGTAAGCTGTTCAGGGCATGGTCTGGTTCACGCTCTGTGCAGTGCAGGGCCCTGAGCTTGGCTGCGAGGTGTTGCCCCAGCACCTGTAATAACATTTGTAGCTGGGCCCCACAGCACCCGTGTCAGACCCTTCTCCCATCTCAGCCGCCAGGGTCCAAATGCAGCCACCTCTGGGGTGGAACCGAGCAGCCGTTGTGAACAGGCACCCACAAGCACATCTGGAGCGGGCAGGAGCTTTGGCTGACGCTGATAGACTTGGTCTGGAATTTGGCTACGAGCCCCCTGCTGAGCCCCTGCCTGCGCCCTGTATAACAGCACCCCCTAGTGCTGCACCGGGGCAGCACTGCCTGCCGGGGGGAGAGCCCCATTTGCAGAGTGACATTCTCTTCCAGAGCGGTCAGGGAGCACCTCCCAGTATCCCCAAGTAAGCCTCAGTGCCCCCAGCACCTCCTAGTGCCCCCCAGCCCCAGCCCCCTTCAATACCCCCAGCCCTCAACAGTCCTCAGTGCCCCTCAGCCCCAGTGCCCCCCAGTCTTCAGCGTGCCCAGCGCCCCCCAGTACCCTCCAGCTTTCAGCACTCCTCAGTCCCCAGTCCCCAGACCTCCTCAGTGCCCCCAGTACCCCCAGCATCCCATCCCTCAGCACCCCCAGCCCTCAGCACCCCTCAGTGCCCCCAGTCCCCAGCACCTGACAGCCCCCAGTGCCCCCACCCCTCAGCGCCCCCAGCCCAAAATGCTGTTAGCCTTCTTGGCCACAAGGGCACACTGTTGACTCAAATCCAGCTTCTCGTCCACTGTAACCCCTAAGTCCTTTTCTGCAGAACTGCTCCCGAGCCATTCGGTCCCTAGTCTGTAGCGTTGCATGGGATTCTTCCGTCCTAAGTGCAGGTCTCTGCACTTGTCCTTGTTGAACCTCATCAGATTTCTTTTGGCCCAATCCTCCAATTTGTCTAGGGCCCTCTGTATCCTATCCCTACCCTCCAGCGTATCTACCACTCCTCCCAGTTTAGTGTCATCTGCAAACTTGCTGAGGGTGCAATCCACACCATCCTCCAGATCATTTATGAAGATATTGAACAAAACCGGCCCCAGGACCGACCCCTGGGGCACTCCACTTGATACCGGCTGCCAACTAGACATGGAGCCATTGATCACTACCCGTTGAGCCCGACAATCTAGCCAGCTTTCTATCCGCCTTATAGTGCATTCATCCAGCCCATACTTCCTTAACTTGCTGGCAAGAATACTGTGGGAGACCGTGTCAAAAGCTTTGCCAAAGTCCAGGAACAACACGTCCACTGCTTTCCCCTCATCCACAGGGCCAGTTACCTCGTCATAGAAGGCGAGACCTGCCCCGCCCCCCAACCAACCCCTGAATTTCCAGCACACCCTGTGGAAGCTGGAACGGCTCCTCGGGGCTGGAGGTCAGCGGTGCCTTGTGCAGATGTCTGATCGAATGGTTAGAGCAGGATATGGGTGACTGGGGCTCCTGGGTTCTACTCCTGGCTCTGGGTGAGGGGAGGAGTGGGGTGTCATAGTTAAAAGTAGGCATGAGGGGGGCAGTCGGGACTCTTGGGTTCTGTTGCTGACTCCCTTTGTGCTCTTGCCCAAGTCACTTCCTGTGCCTCAGTTTCCTCTTCCATTGATAGGGAAATCCTCCATTATTGTTGAGTTTCCTATTGTATAACCTCTCTGAGCTCCTAGAGCATATCACAGTCACCGTCACCATCCTGCTCAGGGCGTCAGGAGCAAGTTCCCCTACTTTTATTGGCCAAGCATTGACCTTTCTACCTACTGGAGATCCTGCGGCACAGATTGATTCGTTCCAGGTTTTTACTCTATTGGACTCTGCTTGCTTTCCCATACGGTGCCTTTCCCCCACCAGCACGACCCGCTCGGTCAGTCCTGGATATTTTGTACCCTGGTATTACCGTGTGCCATTGATTATCATCGGTCCACCAAGTTTCTGGGATGCCTGTTTTATCAGCCTCCTCATTTAATACCAGGCTCTCCAGTTCACCCATCTTAGTATTCAGACTTTGAGCATTTGTACACAAGCACTTATAAAATGTGTCCCTGTTTAGTTGTCTGGGGCTCTTTTCATCTGTTTCTTTTCAGCTCCTAACTGTACGTTCACAGAATCGTAGAATATCAGGGTTGGAAGGGACCTCAGGAGGTATCGAGTCCAACCCCCTGCTCAAAGCAGGACCAATCTCCAACTAAATCATCCCAGCCAGGGCTTTGTCAAGCCTGACCTTAAAAACCTCTAAGGAAGGAGATTCCACCACCTCACTAGGT